TGTCTTTCAATAGGATCCCAGTAATCATGCTGATGTGTATAGGACGATAATGTCTGTCTTTCAATAGGATCCAAGTAATCATGCTGATGTGTATTGGCCGATAACGTCTGTCTTTCAATAGGATTCCAGTAATCATGCTGATGTGTATAGGACGATAACATCTGTCTTTCAATAGGATTCCAGTAATCATGCTGATGTGTATAGGACGATAATGTCTGTCTTTCAATAGGATTCCAGTAATCATGCCGATGTGTATAGGACGATAACGTCTGTCTTTCAATAGGATTCCAGTAATCATGCTGATGTGTATAGGATGATAACATCTGTCTTTCAATAGGATCATGCTGATGTGTATAGGACGATAACATCTGTCTTTCAATAGGATCCCAGTAATCATGCTGATGTGTATAGGAAGATAACGTCTGTCTTTCAATAGGATCCCAGTAATCATGCTGATGTGTATAGGACGATAACGTCTGTCTTTCAATAGGATTCCAGAAATCATGCTGATGTGTATAGGATGATAACGTCTGTCTTTCAATAGGATCCCAGTAATCATGCTGATGTGTATAGGAAGATAACGTCTGTCTTTCAATAGGATCATGCTGATGTGTATAGGACGATAACATCTGTCTTTCAATAGGATCCCAGTAATCATGCTGATGTGTATAGGAAGATAACGTCTGTCTTTCAATAGGATCATGCTGATGTGTATAGGACGATAACATCTGTCTTTCAATAGGATCCCAGTAATCATGCTGATGTGTATAGGAAGATAACGTCTGTCTTTCAATAGGATCATGCTGATGTGTATAGGACGATAACATCTGTCTTTCAATAGGATCCCAGTAATCATGCTGATGTGTATAGGACGATAACGTCTGTCTTTCAATAGGATCCCAGTAATCATGCTGATGTGTATAGGATGATAACGTCTGTCTTTCAATAGGATCATGCTGATGTGTATAGGACGATAACATCTGTCTTTCAATAGGATCCAAGTAATCATGCTGATGTGTATAGGAAGATAACGTCTGTCTTTCAATAGGATCCCAGTAATCATGCTGATGTGTATAGGACGATAACGTCTGTCTTTCAATAGGATCATGCTGATGTGTATAGGACGATACTGTCTGTCTTTCAATAGGATCCCAGTAATCATGCCGATGTGTATAGGACGATAACGTCTGTCTTTCAATCGGATCCCAGTAATCATGCCGATGTGTATAGGACGATAACGTCTGTCTTTCAATAGGACTCCAGTAATCATGCTGATGTGTATAGGATGATAACGTCTGTCTTTCAATAGGATTCCAGTAATCATGCTGATGTGTATAGGAGGATAACGTCTGTCTTTCAATAGGATCATGCTGATGTGTATAGGATGATAATGTCTGTCTTTCAATAGGATCCCAGTAATCATGCTGATGTGTATAGGATGATAACGTCTGTCTTTCAATAGGATCCCAGTAATCATGCTGGATGTGTATAGGACGATAACGTCTGTCTTTCAATATAGGATTCCAGTAATCATGCTGATGTGTATAGGACTATAATGTCTGTCTTTCAATAGGATCCAAGTAATCATGCTGATGTGTATAGGACGATAATGTCTGTCTTTCAATAGGATTCCAGTAATCATGCTGATGTGTATAGGACGATAACGTGTGTCTTTCAATAGGATCATGCTGATGTGTATAGGACGATAACGTGTGTCTTTCAATAGGATCATGCTGATGTGTATAGGACGATAACATCTGTCTTTCAATAGGATCCCAGTAATCATGCTGATGTGTATAGGACGATAATGTCTGTCTTTCAATAGGATTCCAGTAATCATGCTGATGTGTATAGGACGATAACGTCTGTCTTTCAATAGGATCATGCTGATGTGTATAGGACGATAACGTGTGTCTTTCAATAGGATCATGCTGATGTGTATAGGACGATAACATCTGTCTTTCAATAGGATCCCAGTAATCATGCTGATGTGTATAGGAAGATAACGTCTGTCTTTCAATAGGATCCCAGTAATCATGCTGATGTGTATAGGACGATAACGTCTGTCTTTCAATAGGATCATGCTGATGTGTATAGGACGATACTGTCTGTCTTTCAATAGGATCCCAGTAATCATGCCGATGTGTATAGGACGATAACGTCTGTCTTTCAATAGGATCCCAGTAATCATGCCGATGTGAATAGGACGATAACGTCTGTCTTTCAATAGGATTCCAGTAATCATGCTGATGTGTATAGGATGATAACGTCTGTCTTTCAATAGGATTCCAGTAATCATGCTGATGTGTATAGGACGATTACGTCTGTCTTTCAATAGGATTCCAGTAATCATGCTGATGTGTATAAGACATTAACGTCTGTCTTTCAATAGGATTCCAGAAATCATGCTGATGTGTATAGAACGATAACGTCTGTCTTTCAATAGGATTCCAGTAATCATGCTGATGTGTATAGGACGATAACGTCTGTCTTTCAATAGGATTCCAGTAATCATGCTGATGTGTATAGGACGATAACGTCTGTCTTTCAATAGGATTCCAGTAATCATGCTGATGTGTATAGGAAGATAACGTCTGTCTTTCAATAGGATTCAAGTAATCATGCTGATGTGTATAGGATGAAAACGTCTGTCTTTCAATAGGATCCCAGTAATCATGCTGATGTGTATAGGACGATAACGTCTGTCTTTCAATAGGATTCCAGTAATCATGCTGATGTGTATAGGAAGATAACGTCTGTCTTTCAATAGGATTCAAGTAATCATGCTGATGTGTATAAGATGAAAACGTCTGTCTTTCAATAGGATTCCAGTAATCATGCTGGATGTGTATAGGATGAAAACGTCTGTCTTTCAATAGGATTCCAGTAATCATGCTGATGTGTATAGGACGATAACGTCTGTCTTTCAATAGGATTCCAGTAATCATGCTGATGTGTATAGGACGATAACGTCTGTCTTTCAATAGGATTCCAGTAATCATGCTGATGTGTATAGGAAGATAACGTCTGTCTCTCAATAGGATTCCAGTAATCATGCTGATGTGTATAGGAAGATAACGTCTGTCTCTCAATAGGATTCCAGTAATCATGCTGATGTGTATAGGACGATAACGTCTGTCTTTCAATATAGGATTCCAGTAATCATGCTGATGTGTATAGGACTATAATGTCTGTCTTTCAATAGGATCCAAGTAATCATGCTGATGTGTATAGGACGATAATGTCTGTCTTTCAATAGGATCCCAGTAATCATGCTGATGTGTATAGGACGATAACATCTGTCTTTCAATAGGATCCAAGTAATCATGCTGATGTGTATAGGACGATAACGTCTGTCTTTCAATAGGATCCGAGTAATCATGCTGATGTGTATTGGACGATAACGTCTGTCTTTCAATAGGATCCCAGTAATCATGCTGGATGTGTATAGGACGATAACGTCTGCCTTTCAATAAGATTCCAGTCATTTTATACTAGGGATTTTATCTATTTTTGTAAGTATCAATTGTCTTAGTGGAGAAAAATTAACTTTTTTATGGTGTTAATAAATAATTTATATTAAAAAAAAAATTAAAAATTAAAAAGGCTAAATTGAAAACAACGGTAGAGGGGTCTAAATACATTTTCCAAAAGACCAAAAAAGTGAAAAAGTATATTTCAACAAAACGCATTTGACTAGCAGGTCGAACAACTGATGTTCTTAAACCCTGCTGACTGCCATTGGCGATTGCCAAATAAACGGATCACCAGATGTAACAAAATGGATCTTAACTATTAATTTAATACCAAACAGAAAACAATAAACTTGCGGAAAAGATGGTATACCGCAAACTAAAGGTGCAAAAATTAGTACACCATATCCAGATTTCGACAATTAATGTCTCTTCAGTGATGTTAGGAATCGAAACGGTATTTGGAAGGCCATATAATTTACCTCAATTTAGGATAGACACTTGAATTTTGAAGAGTCGAAATAGGATGAACGGATCATATAAACCCGAAGGCAAATATAATACAAGCCCAAACGAAAAAATATAAACAAGTCTTAATTGAAAACAAGGTTCAAACCTATGATTGCGTTGGATAAAAACCGCAATTTTTATACATGTGCATGCAAAACAAATTTCTTGGTAGAGGGGTCTAAATACAGCACAAACAACATTTTCCAATATAATTTATATTATATATATATTTTCCAACTTTTTATTATCATATACTAAAACAGTTTCTTTATGGACTCTTCTACACCAAAATATACTGATTGAAAAAAGTTAAGCACCTTATATCTTAATTAAAAAAACTTTAAATTAAAATTTCCAAAGTTGTGGAAATACATTTTTAATGTGTCATTTTATTAATCATCATCAAGACTCTTAAATTACACAATATACTTTTTCACCTGAGGGATTCATACTCATTTCAGCTGCATTAACAAATAAGGGGTTAGGGGGGTTTACCTGAAAAATCTGTTGTAGGTTTGGACAAGTTTATTCTGGTGACAAAATGTGTTAGAGTAAAGATCCAAACAAGAAAAACCATTATTTTGGTATGGGCCACTGTTGAAGACTACCTAAAATAGACCTATCTGGAAGTTACAGGACCACAAGTTTAGTTCAGGATAGGCCAAGATTGGGAAGGCCCAAAATACCTACTCCTAGAGAAGATCATTACGTCAGACTCTGACCACTTTACACCTGCAATGAGAATTTCTGGAGTCTGTGTTTCCACTCAAACATTAGAGACATCCATTAGCCTGGGTAAATCAGTATATATATGTCCCACATCTTCTGAAAAATTTCACTTCACACTGCAACTGACCAACTTAAGTCTAGAGAAGGTCAGGAGAATGTTTTTTTTAACCTTGTGGTTTCTTGCTTTTTGTTACAATAATTTTATTATTGTTTAGAAGTATAATTTATTTTTGAAATATAAAATTGAAAATATTTGTTGCTATCATTTTTTACTCAGTATATACTTACTGTTGGTGTGACCTGTTTTTCTATTTTTGGTGAAGACATTGATTCATCAGCCAAACGAGAAGCTGCTCTAACAGCGGCTGCCCCTACAAAAAATAGTAAAGTAAAAAAAAAGGGGTTACAGTGATAAACAATTGGTTACTGCAAGCCATTGGATATAGTGTGTAGAGACCTTTGTCAGTTTTCTCTTTATTATTTGCCAGTACTCTAAACACAATCTAAGAATTTTCTTTAATGTTTAAATTACTAAGGTGTACAAAACTTAGCCAACCAAGAACTACATCAAGTTGCCTTTTAATTGGGGAATTAAAATTCTGAGATTAGGAAACATAAAAAAACTTCCGGAAATTTGTTTCTTCTTCAATGTAAAAGTATAAACGTTTATTAGGCTGAGATAAATTTTAATGAGATTTTCCTTTGAAAGTAATGCATGTACTTGGAAACATATCACAAAGCCCTGTGACTATACACCATATTCTAGTCATGTACATTATTACTCTCTTGTATACCTGTTGGGGATGGTTTCTCAACTGGTTCTATTTTCTTTTTTGCAAACAGTGACCCAGTTGTTATATCATCTCCTGTTTCTGGTTTAACAGTAAATGCTCCTAACTTCTTAGTTCCCTGAATAAAGAAAAAGAAATCCAAACTACACCTTAATATCAATGGATGAAACATTTGTGTATATTTTTTTAATGTAAATATCTGCCTTCTCAAGATATTGACCAATAGCTCTCTAACTGTTTCATAACCTTAAGGTGGCTTAACTCTCTTTCAATTTAACCTTTCCTCTTTCTGTAGTATCAGCTATTCAAAATGTGTTTTGCATTAAAACTGGCATAAACTTAAAACCTAAAGTAATTTCATTACTTCACATAGCGTGTCAACCAGTCCATCTATTGCATCATATTCATTATCAAATAATTTCAATGCTGCATGCTGTCTTAAATTTCATGTATGAGTGTCAAAATTATGATAAATGTACAAATATGTTTCATGATGTCATGAGAAATAATTCCTTCACAGGTTGAACTGTTCTGTAGTAGTGATGACATTATCTTTGTCAAAAAGTGTATTTTATTGGCATGATTGGAATTCTAAGTAATAAAAATAATTTGTATTATGAATGCTGTTGACATGGGAGAGTTGTTGGATCCTGTTTTAATTCTTCAGGCAAATTTATCAAATCCAGAATTAACAATAATCAGTAACATTAATTTAAATACCTATAAATTGGTTGTCTAAGAAGACTTAATGATGAATAGCTGTAATAATAAGTGTCTACAATTCGGTTGTTTAAGGGCATACGATACAGTAACAGGGAAGGTAATGACTTGCTAACGTAAAATGAGACAAACTGTGACATATCAGGAAAAGATTCATTTTTCAACCGATTTAAACTTTTAGCTTAAAACCAAGAGCATGGACCCCTCTTTTTAAAAATGATATTTGGCTTGGTTATGTATGAAGACTATTGCTACACAAATTTAGAGCATATGTATGTAAAGAAGATATTCCAAAAGCTCTAACAAAATTCCGCTTGTGTTTATCTTTTGAAACAAAAAAGTTAGGTGTCTGTCCAAAGGATGGAAATTTCCAAGAAATCGAAATTTTGAGTATATGTCTAAAATTTCGAACCCATTTAACTTAATAAAAGTCACACATGAGGGTATATTTTTAATTATATATTTAAATTGACTAAGTGAAAAATAGCTTGTATGCAAAGTTTTGTCAAAAATTCAACGTGGGATCAAAACTGTATCGTATGCCCCTAAGAAAACTTGATGATAAATAGGAACATATGTACAAGATTTATCTCCCTTACCCCAAGTGTCTACAAAGTGGTTGTTGAAGAAAAAAATTCATTTCTCCAGTAAAAAAAGGTAAGCAGAATGATATTAAAAATAATGTTGACTTACTTCTTCTTTGTCATCTGGAGTGGAATGAATCTTTATAAATGATAAACCATACTCTGACGTCTGTAATTACATTAATTAAAATATCAAAAGCACCAAGTGTGGACACACAGAAATGTCTTTTCAATATACCATATTCAATGTCTTATTATGATGTGTTCTTATTTCAAAGTTAAGTCACAGCTTTCAAACACACAATCTGCTTTTTGTCTTAATGGACTTGTTAATAAAGGTTATTATTACAGTTGAACCTCACTTTGTGAGTATAACAAAAAGTACTCTATATTTGTAAAAACAGTCAAAATAATAATATAAAACACAAAATTTCTTCATTTAGATTAAACATTTTACAAATGAACTGCATTCATGCCAAAATTAGCATATTTCCTTAAAATCTAGACTGATTGTTCTGCTATTTTAGGATCAAAGATTGTGGAAGACACCCGATCAACTTAAGGTTTGAATACAAATTATTTTGTCCAATTTATACAAATGTTGAAATAATATTTAATATGTGCATGCTCTTATATTGTATTGATAAATATTTTAAATGGAGAAGACTTCATAACATAAAAATAAGTCAGTTTGACTTGTGTCTTCTCAAATTTGTGTGTATGCAAATAAAATATATGTTTAAACTAAACAGATCTTTTTGTTGTATACAGACAAATTACATTGTTGAAGGGTTGAGTACAGATAAATTACATTCTTGAAGACTTGAGTACAGACAAATTACCTTGTTGAAGGGTTGAGTACAGACAAATTACCTTGTTGAAGGGTTGCATACAGACAAATTACCTTCTTGAAGGGTTGAATACAGACAAATTACCTTCTTAAGGGTTGAATACAGACAAATTACCTTGTTGAAGGGTTGAGTACAGACAAATTACCTTGTTGAAGGGTTGAGTACAGACTATTTTAAGTCTATCCCACTTTTCACTGGCAACAGCATTTGACAACTTTTCTGGTCCAAACATTCTAACACTGTTTCTATTGGTACCATTTCTACTCTCCAGTGGTGTCATAAAAGAAGAAGCTACTAATATTACCTGTAATTCAGGTAATTAAAACATTAGATCTATAGTTAAAATGGACTTATAATCAAATATATTATGACCATTGACCTGCAGAATACATATAAATCAGACCGTTAGTTTTCTTGTTTAAATTGTTTTACATTTGCCATTTCGGGTTCTTTAATAGCTACGGTATGAGTTTTGCTAATCTTTTAAGGCCATACGTTGACCTATAGTTGTTATCTACTAAGTCATTTAGTATCTGGTGGAGAGTTGTCTCATTGGCAATCATACCACATCTTCTTATTTTAATACATACTTTTATAATTAGCTCTCAATTAGTAAAAGCTCATTCTAATATGTCGTTCTTCAAAAGCTTTGAGTACATACCGGTGGTAAAATATGAATATGTCAGCTGATCATCATGTCGATCAACATCATGGATTATTTGGGCTGTTCCAATCTTACTCCTACATCGTTTTCTTTTTTATGAAAGGGTGTAAATTACTTCATTGAACAATTACATATGAATATAAGCATTCTACAGGAAAATGCACAAATGTGAACCTTAAAGTCGTCAAAACATGAAAACATACACAAACCGTGATAAGCATTTGTTGAAAGCCCATTTTCTAAAAATGAAGGTAAAAAATCAATTAAATTAACCTAAACCTGTCTTTGTATGTTAATGTAAATTGTTTAGAATGTCTCTTATTAAATTTTCTTCGGCTTTTACATCAATATTAAAAGTATGTTCAATTATGGGAACTGCAAACATTTCCCTTCACTTACAGCTCTTCGATCCAGAGACTTGCTGTCATAGTCCTATTAGAATAGAAATAATTTATGGGAATTGAATTTATATTGATTTTACCATGGGTTGGCCCTAATGCTGATATTTTACCCCTCGCTATTGGTCGTGGTAAAATATTAAGCATAAAGGGCCAACCTGTGGTAAAATCATGATAAATTCAAGCCCCCATGAATTATTTCTTAATCATGGATATTGTGCATATAACTTAATAAGCATGTTTCCAATTTATAGTTGGCAAGGCCAAAATCAATTATAAAAACCAAAATTCAAAAAGAAGTTATGCTATATCTGGCTTAAACCATCTAAGACCTGGGGACAGAAAACCTTAGTGTCTTCAATTCTTTTAACCTTCTCTAAACAATAAAATTACAGAAAACGTCTGTGAGAAGCTAGTGATCTACATTATCTATTATTCTTATTTCTCTAAACAATAAAATTACAGAAAACGTCTGTGAGAAGCTAGTGATCTACATTATCTATTATTCTTATTTCTAATTTCACAAATACCGGTATTTAGGATCTTTTTATAGAAATATCACTCTCATCTTTAAACTCTTCCATCAGTTGTTTATACTATTAAATCTTGAATATACGTATGTATATGTATAATTATCTTCAATCTTTGATACTTCTAAACAATTATCATCTTGATCTTGATTTTCAGGTGTTCTTGGATATCCACAAGTAATAACATCCTGATCTTCATATTTTTAAAACTTGGATTTATTCCTATAGTTATCATTCTGAGCTTTACGTTTTTGAGTTTTGGATATTTTCCTATAAATATCAATCTGATCTTTAAATTTTTATATATTTTTTAGTTTAAGATGTTTTCTATAATCCTCATCATCCTGATCGTTTTATTTTTAAATGTTGAACGTTTTCTATAATCATCATCATCCTGATCGTTTTATTTTTAAATGTTGAACGTTTTCTATAATCATCATCATCCAGATCTTTATCATGTTTATCATGTTTATCATGTTTATCATTGTTTATATTTATCATGTTTAAGAATCTAGGATGTTTTTGTATAATATTATCATCTTGATCTTTATATCTTTTAATTTTAATGTTTTTTTTATAATATTATCCTCCTTATCTTTGAATATTTGTTATTTTTCTTTATTATTATCCTCCTTGTCTTTGAATGTTTGGTTATTTTTCTATAATTATTACCCTCCTAATCTTTGAATATTTGGTTATTTTTTCTATAATATTATCCTCCTTATCTTTGAATGTTTGGTTATTTTTCTATAATTATTATCCTGGTCATACTTTATAATCATGATCTGTTGTAGCCGTCTCTTTTCCAACTAAAATTTCCACAAATGCTGAACCTTCATTCCCCACATCAATGGAATTAACCTGGCTAGATTTCTCTAACTGTAAATACAAAAAGTCATAAATAAATGCAAAATTAGTATTCTGTAATAGAAACGAAGGGATATAGTGTATAAATTTATGAAGGGATATAGTGTATAAATTCATGAAGGAATATAGTGTATAAATTCATGAAGGGATATAGTATATAAATTCATGAAGGGATATAGTGTATAAATTAGAATTCTGTAATAGAAACGAAGGGATATAGTGTATAAATTCATGAAACAAAATTCCTACTTGCACTTGACAATAAATTGCTTCGCCAAGCGCAGCTGGATACGACCGCAGAGGTCCAACCCTGAACAGTTGGGGCAAAAATGGACGCAATATTAGTGCTTGATATAGGTCTGAATTTGGATTGTAATTAAATATTTGACACATAAAAGGTTTCTGACACAGAATAACTGAAGTCAAAGAACTTAGAATTGGTTATATGATTTGAATTTATATTCAATTTTTTGCTTTTGTGCAATACACTTTGCTGTTTCGAATTGACACTCCCTTCCCCCACAAAAAAAAATAAAAAATTTACCCCACTTTTTTTTTTTGCTTTTGTGCAATACACTATGCTGTTGCATATTAACCCCCAACACACACACACACTTTTTTTTTTCAAAAAAAATAATATTTGAAGAATTTTTCTTTTTAATTTCTGAAATCTGAAATGAGAAAAAATTGACCCCCCACAATTTCTTTTTACCTTCCCCCCCCCCCCCCCCACCCCTTTTTTCCCCCCAAGTAAATTCTTTCCCTCAAGATATGGTCATAATCTCAATTCAAATTTCCAATGGAGTTTGCAACCATAATTACCCATTTAAATTTACCATAGTGCTAACTTAAACTATTTTATAATCATGATAATAGAATTTAAAATATGGTGTCAAATCTTTCATATGGATTTTTTTTGTAAAAAAAAAAAAAGATGCAACATTTGCAGATATTTTTACTGGTCTTCCTTTATAAATATGCATTTCTTTAAACATAATTTAAAAGCAGTGTAAGGGAGGTAATCAAAACATTGTATTTGGATTACCTCCCTTACACTGCTTTTAAATTGTCTTAATTGTTCATTAACCATTACTTTATACATAATTTAAAAGCAGTGTAAGGGAGGTAATTCAAATGATGTATTTGAATTACATATGTACCTCCCTTACAATGCTTGAAATTATGTTTTGTACTAAAGTATTTGTCCATTAATCAGGACACCCTTGTTTTTCCCTTTTTTGCCCCTAATTCCTAAACGGTTTGAGCCATAACCCCCTAAAGCAAATCCTAACCATCCCTTTGTAGTATGGAAACTTGTGGTATAATTTCAGAGAGATCCATACACTGTTCCACAAGTTATTGTCTGGAAACTACAAAAATGCATATTTTTGGCCCCTAATTCCTTAACTGTTGGTACCATCACCCCCAAAATCAATCCCAATCTTCCTTTTGTGGTATTGAACCTTATGGTAAAATTTCATAGAGATCCATTCACTTAAACTTAAGTTATTGTGCGAAAACCAATGTGTCTTCGGACGACGACACCAACATCATACCAATAAAAATATAAAAACCTCTGCAAAGGAAAAACCCTATTATTGCTGTTCTTCATCTCTAAGTCTTACTGCAGTCTTCACGTTGAACCACAGGCCCAGCAGCCCAGGCTTGTAAAATTGCTCTCTGGCCTGTAAAAATCGTCTGTACAGGCCAACGCAATCTAATTAAAATTTTCCAAAAATTTAGTTCCGGGCCTGTAGATTTAAAAGTTTATTGTGAAGACCGTCTTAGGGAGCCTTAAACACAAAGGAAAAACCCTATTATTGCTGTTTATCATCTGTAAGTCTTAGTGAGCCTTCAACACAAAGGAAAACCCCTATTATTGATGTTTATCATCTGTAAGTCTTAGGGAGCCTTCAACACAAAGGAAAACCCTATTATTGCTGTTTTTCATCTGTAAGTCTTAGGGAGCCTTCAACACAAAGACAAAGCCAACAGTCCTGAATAACACTGACTGGAATTCCTTGCTAAATGTTATTAACTCTACACCTGTGGTTCATGACAGTCCCTAAAATCAAGTGGGAACCGATTTCTTTACTTAGAATTTGCAGGTTTATAGTAAATATACCTGGAGTACAACAACAGCATTTTTAGGTTGGCCAGTTGTTTTCCACTTATGTGAACCTTCTGCTTTTAATAAATTTTCAGCTGGATTATTCTGAAATAAACAAATTCTGACATTAACCCATGAAAAAATAACAATTTGTCCAAATGTGTATTCTATACATGCTATATATATATATCTGTTAGATAAAGCTCTGCTATATATGATTATACACTCAGACAGTATTGTGGTACTGCATTGTACTAGTGTATCAATCAGGAAGTATCCTACTGATATTAGAGAAAGATGACAAGTAAACAAAAATGTAGATACACAATGTACAGCAAACATCATGTGTAGTAACCTCAAACATCATGTGTAGTGAGCTCAAGCAGCATGTGCAGTGACGGAAGGAATGGATATACATGATCTTCCAATATATATGCATGTTCACTGAAAATTACATGTCACAAAGCAAATATCTTCAAGTCACAATGTCCTATGACACACTTTCCCCCATACAGTCAGGGGTACTACTTGTACATGTACAAGTAATCTTTATTTACTTGAAGAAGTAAATAAAATATACTTACATAAATTAATTATAATGTTTGAATAATCTCCCCTTAATTTTCTCAATTTACTTGTATAAGTAATTTTTTTTTACAATCCCACAAAAATTCTCAAGTTTTGAGATGTAAAAACATGCAATTTTTCTCAAGTTAGCTCATAAATTTTTATTAGAGTTCAATGTTTCATCTCATTAATTCAACAGAGAAACTGATTGCGCAAAGATCTTAAGTATTTGTGCAAGGCCTTCAAAAATTGCTCCTTGGGGCTTGTAAATGAGCAGTGTTCTGAAGATAACAGACAAATGAGATTTTCATTGTCCATGAAATTACACTTAAATGATTAGTAAAGACATCTGCAAAGGACAGACAATTAAAAATTCTATTAGAGCAAACAAGTCCTAAGAATTCAAGAAAAGAAGATAGGACTGTTTTACTTGTACAAGTAAAAAAATCTGAATGTCTAAGGGACATACATGTAACTAAGCCAAAAAAATATTTACCTATACAAGTAAATAAAATACACTTGTATTATAAGTATCCTACAAATTTACTTATATAAGTATATTAATATTTACTTCTTCAAGTAAATAAAAATTACTTGTACAAGTAGTACCCCTGACTGCCATATGACCCCAGGTCAATCGGGGCAGTTTGTTCATAAAACTGAAATTGGAAAGTCGTCTTTTTTCACTCTAACTTACTTCTTCTTCTATAATTATGAACTTCCATTTATGGAACACCTTCTCACTGGAATAATTTCCAGAATGAGGAGTTATAAAAAGTTTATTTGGCACACATAAAAGTATCTATTATAACTATGTATATACACTAAAATACACTGTCCTCGGATTAAAATCTAAAAAAAAAAACTTAAGGTTCATGTGGACCCTTTGACTAAAATGGCTGCGTTTTCACCTCAAAATTTAATCCCAGTACAGACAAACCTGTGCATCTGAAAAAGTTTTACGGCATAGCATATTTTAATTCTATTTATCTAGGGCATGCTATGCCTTAAAACTTTTCCAGATACACAGGTTTGTCTGTACTCAGAGTAAATTTTTAGGTGAAAAAACAGCCATTTTAGCCAAAGGCAAAGGGTCCACATGAACTGTTATATTTATCTTTTTAATACTGGTTAATGAAATCATAATACAGTGTGTACTGGCTGGTCATTAGCGCGTATGATACGATTTTGACATGCCTACATAGCTGATATATTCATGACTATATAGATAAGGACAGCACGTGTAGCCAAACAGAGTAGAGATGTAGATTTGTAGCATAACTGTATAATATATGTAGTTGATAAAATATAGAAGTAGAACCGAAATATTGTTTTTTCATATTACATGCCAAGGGAGTAAAAACACGGATCTATCAGAACCTTAAGCTATATACAATAAAAAGCGGGACACCCTGCCTCTACCTTATCACATATGTACAAAGCTCTTCATATCACAAATGTTCTACATACGTATTCGTTTTATTTACAGTTAATCGGACGGACTTATCATGTTTTCTAACTCTAACTTCTAAGCCACAGATCAAAATTCTGAGCAAACTGCTTGTGTTCACCTTGTCAGCGCAACTACAGGATACAATATGCTTCACTTTTATTTCTGGCATGTTCTCCAATTAAGTCTGGAATGTCACCTAATTAATTATCTATTTTACAATTTCTGTAGTATACTCATAATACTGATTCAGCAAGTTTTTCTTCAGAATCCAACCAACGGAAATACGAAGTTCATGATAATTAGAGAAACGGTTCCGGACACTTTGAGGCAAGAAGATTTACTGTGTTCCTCTCTCTAACCTACAAACTAAATTGTCAATTGCATAAACTAAGTGGATAAATATTTCAAATAACTTAGCGTTTTTTATCATTTAGTGTAGAAATGGGTTCTTATTTTCTATTGATAGTTCGCACAATCAAGAAATTATGTTTTCCCGGAAGTTCATTCATCGGTTGTCTCCCATTCATACACTTGCAAACAACACAAAACTGTGAAAACTGAAGAGCGTTTACCTGAAAATTAAAGAAAATAAACACGTAAGCTTATGCAATCTGCCAGTAAAAGTTTCGGTTGTGTGCAGACATGTTCAACTGTACTTTCAACAGCAGTTCCATGAGCTGTAAGGGTATTTTAATTGAAGGGGAATTTAGCTGTCAAATTCGTGTTTAACGAATTCTACTTTCTAGTCACTTCGGGCTCGACACCTAGTTAAATCGGCACCTGGTCAAATCGGCACCCGGTATAGTAAATTCGACACCTAGTCATATCGAGACTTGGTTGATTAGGCATCCCAAAAATTAACAATTATGGTAAGCATGGAAATTATTGAACTGTTTTTTTCCACATTTCTTTTCATATTTTAAGTGATAACCAATCAAAAAATTATTCACAGAATATTGAATAATTTCAAACAGAAAGCCAACTGATTATTTTTATTTGCTTAATTACATGTGCATATGTCCATGTTTTAATTTACGCAAGCTTCTCATCATTGCTGTATCTCTTTCTAATTAAATACTGAAGATTAAACAGTGTAATATTTTTCTTCAATGGGTCCCCGATGTAATGTCATTAGGGAGTGACGTCATATATCGAATGGTGTCATTGTTTGGCATGTGATGTCTCAGGCGTCCAGCTGTCGTAATTCTGGCACACGAAATGCAACCATATAAAACAACAGGAAGCAGGAGGGTTAAGACCAATGGCTACAGTGCTGAAGGTTCCAGGTTCGATTATAACTAGGGCGCTGGCAATTTCAGAACATCAGAAGGGTGATTTTTACCCTCCCTCACACATCTCTGGTACCTAGAACAGAGTTTAAAACTTGAATAGGTACTTTGGGGCCTTGATAGGTCAAGGTTGCCCCCTTCCTTGACCTGGAGATCAATCTGCTGATCTCTTCAGTTTGTCTGTTCCGACCAAGGAGCCCAGTGGTTCCTTCAAATATTTTGGCTTCCTCCACCATAACAGATTTCCTGGTGTCCTAGCACTCCCTTTGTGATGGGGTGGGGATTGTCCTTGTAAATATTGTTTGAAAACGTTGGTGAGTCTGACACATCTCTATTAATCCTGTTAGGGAATGTACACAGGTTACACCATACTCTCGCCTTGAGGGGAAAATAACGGAGATATCTACCAGTACATACATACATATGGCATTCAGATTATTTATTGACTTAAGTTATTAAAAAAAACACATTTCCTTCTTTTCTTGAATTTTCTCTTGACAAAATTGCTCTTATCATTGCTAATAGGGTGTTTAATTGTATAATCTACCAGACATTAATCTAATGTTGGAGACACCATATAAAAAAATGCAATGGAAACAAATGATCTACCAAGAGGTCACCAAATATTGGAAAGATCAAATGACAAGCTTAGCTAAACTTTACGAACATCTGGGATCAGAGTTCCAGATAAGCTGGGTATTTGCGTGATTACCCAATAAAAATAATTGAAAACCCAATTTAGTTGACAATTGCAGCATTCAAAGACCCAATTCATGCAAAGGAAAACCCAATTATATGTCAAAACTATGCGTTCTCAACCCTCCTAGTTACTATCGTGTGCATTATTTAATTTTACCCTAATCAATAAATTTTATCGCGTAAATCTATTTTTGTAATATTCAGAAATCTACTATATCAGTCAGGGGTACTACTTGTACAAGTAATTTTTATACGACCGCAAAAAAATTTTTGTGGTCGTATATTGGTATGACGTTGGCGTCGTCGTCGTCGTCCGGCGTCATCCGAAGACACATTGGTTTTCGCACTCTAACTTTAGTTTAAGTGAATGGATCTTTATGAAATTTTACCACAAGGTTCAATACCACAAAAGGAAGGTTGGGATTGATTTTGGGGGTTATGGTAATAACAGTAAAGGAATTAGGGGCCAAAAAGGGGCCAAAAATAAGCATTTTTGTAACTTCCAGACATAACTTGTGTGTTAGTGTATGGATCTCTCTGACATTGTACCACAAGGTTCCATATCACTAAAGGAATGCTGGGATTGATTTTGGGGGTAATTGCCTCCAAATTTTAGGAATTAGGGGCCAAAAAAGGGGCAAAAAACAAGCATTTTTCTAGTTTCATGACAATAACTTGTGTGTAAATGTATGGATCTTTCTGAAATTGTACTACAAGGTTCCATATAACAAAGGGAAAGCTGGGTTTGAGTTTGGGGGTAATTGCCCTAAACGTTTAGGAATTTGGGGCCAAAAAGGGGCCAAAAAACACATTTTTTTCTAGTTTCCAGACAATAACTTGTGTTCAAGTGTATGGATCTCTCTGAAATTGTACTGCAAGGTACCATACCACAAAGGGAAGGCTGGGATTGAGTTTGGGGGTGATAAATCATAATGGGGGTTCAAAAAATTTTGGGGGGGGGATTTATTTTTTTTTCCTTTTTTTCTTTTTTTCCTTTTTTGTTTCTTTTAAAATTTTCCATTTTAAGTTGGTTATTTCTGATTTATATTTAAAATCAAATAATAATGATATGGTAGGAGATACACACCAAAACAGGATGTGTAAATTATTATATAATAAGTATTGTGCAATAGCAAGAAATTTTCAATTGCACAGTATTGCACAATAGCAAGAAATCTTCAATTGCACAGTATTGCGCAATAGCAAGACATCTTCAATTGCACAGTATTGCGCAATAGCAAGAAATATCCAGTAGCACAATATTGCGCAATAGCAAGAAATTGTCAATTGTACAGTATTGCGCAATAGCAAGAAATATTTAATAGCACAGGATTGTGCAAAAGAAGATACTTCCTATAAATTGCTTATTTCTTGACCAATTTCAATGGGGTTTTATTCTTGATTTCATGGGGTTCTTTAATATGCTGAATCTAACCGTGTATTTTGTTTTTGGATTATGGGCCCTGTTTTTAAATTGGTCCACATTGAGGTCCAAAGGGTCCAAAATTAAACTTTGTTTGATTTCATCAAAAATTGAATTATTGGGGTTCTTTGATATGCCGAATCTAACTGTGTATTTAGATTCTTAAATTTTGGTTCCGTTTTCAAATTGGTCTACATTAAGGTCCAAAGGGTCCAAAATTAAACTTAGTTTGATTTTAACAAAAATTGAATTCTTAGGGTTCTTTGATATGCTGAATCTAACATGTATTTAGATTTTTATACGACCGCAAAAAAATTTTGTGGTCGTATATTGGTATGACGTTGGCGTCGTCGTCGTCGTCCGGCGTCGTCGTCCAGCGTCGTCGTCCGAATACATATTGGTTTTCGCACTCTAACTTTAGTTTAAGTGAATCGATCTTTTTGAAATTTGACCATAAGGTTAAATACCACAAAAGGAAGGTTGGGATTGATTTTGGGGGTTATGGTACCAACAGTTAAGGAATTAGGGGCCAAAAAGGGGCCAAAAATGAGCATTTTCTAGTTTCCAGACAATAACTGTGGAACGGTGTATGGATCTCTCTGAAATTATACTACAAGTTTCCATACCACAAAGGGATGGTTAGGATTTGCTTTGGGGGGTTATGGCTCAAACCGTTTAGGAATTAGGGGCAAAAAAGGGGGAAAAACAAGGTTGTCCTGGTTAATGGACAAATACTTTAGTACAAAACATAATTTAAAGCAGTGTAAGGGAGATAAATCAAATACATCATTGAAATTATCTCCCTTACACTGCTTTTAAATTATGTATAAAGTAATGGTTATTGAACAATAAAGATAATCTAAAACAGTGTAAGGGAGGTAATCCAAATACAACGTTTTGGTTACTTCCCTTACACTGCTTTTAAATTATGTTTAAAGAAATGCATATTTATAAAGGTAGACCAGTAAAAATATCTGCAAATGTTTTCATCTTTTTTTTTTACAAAAAAATCCATATGAAAGATTTGACACTATATTTTTATTAATTCTATTATAAAATAGATTAAGTTAGCACTATGGTAAATTTAAATGGGTAATTATGGTTGCCAACTCCATTGGAAATTTGAATTGAGATTATGACCATATCTTGAGGGAAAGAATTTTTTTTGGGGAAAAAGGGGGGGGGGAATAAAAGGAAATTGTGGGGGGCCATTTTTTTCTCATTTCAGATTTCAGAAATTAAAAAGAATTATTCTTCAAATATTATTTTTTTTTCAAATTTCAAATATTGAAAAATTTCAAGAAGTAATCTTTAATTGCACAGTATGGCGCATTAGATTTGTAAAATCTTTGATCACATTTATTTATTTGTTATGCCGAATCTAACAGTGTATTTAGATTTTTAATTTTGGGTCCAGTTTTCAAATTGGTCTACATTAATGTCCAAAGGGTCCAAAATTAAACTTTGTTTGATTTTAGCAAAAATTGAATATATGAGGTTCTTTGATATGCTGAATCTAAACATGTATTTAGATTTTTGATTTTTGGCCCAGTTTTCAAGTTGGTCCAAATTGGGGTCCAAAATTAAACTTTGTTTGATTTCAACAAAAATTGAATATATGGGGTTCTTTGATATGCTGAATCTAACCATGTATTTAGATTTTTTATTTGTGGACCCCGTTATCTAATTGGTTCATATTGAGGTCAAAAGGGTCCAAAATTAAACTTTGTTTGATTTCATCTAAAATTGAATTATTGGGGTTCTTTGATATTCCAAATCTAACCGTGTATTTAGGTTTTTAATTTTGGGTCCTGTTTTTTAAATTGGTCTACATTGAGGTCCAAAGGGTCCAGAATTAAACTTAGTTTGATTTTAACAAAAATTGAATTCTTGGGGTTCTTTGATTTGCTGAATCTAAACATGTGTTTAGATTTTTGATTATGGGCCCAGTTTTCAAGTTGGTCCAAGATAGGGTCCAGTATTTAAACTTTGTTTGATTTCAACAAAAATTGAATATATGGGGTTCTTTGATATGCTGAATCTAAACATGTATTTAGATTTTTGATTATGGGCCCAGTTTTCAAGTTGGTCCAAATTGGGGTCCAAAATTAAACTTTGTTTGATTTCAACAAAAATTGAATATATGAGGTTCTTTGATATGCTGAATCTAACCATGTATTTAGAT